TAGTTCAATAGGGAATGATTGTTATCAGGTCTGACAGTGAGTGTTGGATAGGTAAATGTAAATGTTTGGTACAAAAGGAGGGGAGCGGCTGATTTTACCATCTAGGGAAAAAATCGAAGTAGGAGACACTGTCCGGGGAGGAAGTGCCACTAGGGATGGAGGCAGAAACGATGACATGGACAGAAGGAGCGGATGGGGACTCTGGATTCAGGGAGCGAGAGGGGCTGTATGCTGGCAGCCGGGGGGCAGGCATGTGGGGTGTACCCTTTTGGTTGTTTGATGATGCATGCAGGGGATTGTGATCATTGCAATGAAATAAAATACGATAGGATGAATGAAAAGATAATGTTCACCCATGTAAACTAACACATAATTCACAATAAAAACTTTAAAAAAAAGTGAATAGAGAGAAATGCTATGGACTGATGGTACATGGAGGGGATTATAATCTTTGTAATGAAACAAGATATATGGTATATGATTTGTTGAATGTAAAACTGATGACCTGCCCTGTAAGCTTTCACTCAATCCACAATAAAAATCTTAAAAATAAACAAATAAAAAGGATGAACCTCGGAGGAGATCTGCAAGGTTATCTGCTAAACCTGTTCCTCCAAATTCAAAATCTAAGTCTAATAAGGACATTGCAAAGAAAGAAGATACCCAAAATGAAAAGGGAGATGCTGACAAGGATGGGAATAACCTGCAGAAAATGGAGATGCCAAAATTGCCCAAGCACAGAAAACTGATGTCACTGGAGATGCCAAATGAAGTGTGTGCAATTTTGTACAGTTTGAAATACTATTTTTTTGAAAGCTTTTGTTGTGCATTGAGTGATGTTTACATGGAAGAACATCAGTTTTGCACTATCCTATCGTACTTCGTATCATTGCAATGATTACAATCCCCTCCATGCCCATTCAACAGTATTTGCTTCTATTCCCTCTGGCTTTTTGTAGTTGTTGTTGTTTTGATGTACACAAAAACACTCAGGAATATATAATCATTTAAACAAGCCAAGGGCACATTCAGGCCTGGCTCCTGGGCAACGACACACAGCCTTTCTCTATCCATGAGTCTAGAGTCCTCAACTGTTCTATCTCTCCATGACCTCATCTTTGCCTCCGTCTCTGGTGTTGCTGCTTCTCTGGATCGGGTCCCACATTCTGCTCATGCTCTTCTCCCTTGATAGTCCTAGGGTTGAAATACTATTTTTTAATCAGTATTAAAAGGCTTATAAAAATGCAAAAAAGAAAACTGCGTAGATGAAATGAAGTGAAAGTCTAAAGCAAACAGAACAAAAATGTTAGACCCAAAAATAATTCAATCCAATTCTAGTCAACATGCATCAAGCAACTGTCTAGTGGATAGGAAATGAGTTTTATTTATTGCTTATGCATGCAGAAGGAATATTATCAAATGTATAAACACATAAAATCCTGAATCCCTAGGATAGAAATGAAAACACATACTAATTGCAAATATCTAGCAAGCACATGTTGAAATGACTAGATGGCACCCAGTAACAATAGCAAACACCTATTATCAAGCCAGACCAGTTCTTGGAAAAGGGCATCATGCTAGATAAAGTCAGTGAAAAAAGAGAAGATACTCAACAAAGTGGATTAGACACAGTGGCTATAACAGGAAGCTCAAATATGACAAAAACTGTGAGGCTGGCTCAGGACTGGGCAAAGTTTCACTCGGTTGTATCTAAGGTCACTAGGAGCTGAAACTGACATGATGGCACCTAACAACAACAAAAGCACACATAATGCTTGACACATAAAAAATGTTAAAAGAAATACATCTTCACAATAAAAGCTTTAACAAAAGAGGAAATGTATGTGAATAACTGAATGAACAAACAAGGCAGGAAAAACAAAAATTAAAGACTTAAATTTCTAGATAATCCAGGTTTCAAATTTTCTGCCCCATTAACAAGTCAAATACTCTATATTGTAAGTTAAGCAAATGTAAAAGTGCAAATCATCAAAGGTTGTTTAAAAGTTTTGATCTTGACATCAATAAGGATGTTAAGAAGACATATCAAGATGAATGAGTAACCTGCCAAAATCATACTGGTAATTGGCTTGAATACTAATTGTTGATACAGAAACTTGACTCAAACCCTAGTAGTATAAAATTGCATTCATGATCAAAAGGAAGTTATTTTTTTTTAAATGCACAATTTTTTCCAGACCTAAAGAAAATCAAAACAAAAAATCAAAAAGAAATGGAGCTGTAAAAACAGAGCTCCAGCAATGCAGTTGACTTTGCTTGTCATGGCTTTTTAAAAAAATAAAGCTACAACCAAGGTAAATAAGTAGAATGCAACAATTCAGGACATCAATAATGTTTCATCATTTTCATGATTGAGGACTAGTTGTTTCAGTTCAGATGTTAAAATCTAAGAAATCAGAAACTGATTTTAAAAACAGATCAATAATAAAGCAAAAGGCAGCTGAAAAGTGTATTCTAATTCTGTGATTTATCCATCAAATGAACCAAATCTTCAAAGGCAGGTTATTAGAACCAACATGGATCCTTTTGTACCCTATCTTAAAATCTATGTGACTAATAAGACAAGAAGGGGATCTAGACACTCTTAATCGTAACAATTTCTTAATAAAAACATAAAATGAACCACATACAAAATTAACTTGCACAGAAAATATTGATTTTATAATACAAATGATCATAGAATTTTTATTATTTATTTGCATAATATTTTTTCATTAGGCTTAATTATAAAATAAAATGCCAATTTTACTTTTTCAAATAAATGAAAGTCATCATCTACATTTACTACTCATTTGGTACCTAACATGTGAAATACTTCACACTGGTGAAAAGGTTAAAGAAACCAAGATGGGGGTACTTCAGATAAGAGTACAAATCTGGTCATATGTCGTCTAGTGCATGTATTTCCTGATCAACTGTATCTTATTCAGACATATAGTATACAACACTAGTTAAGAATTATCTTTAGGTATAGCATACTGCAAGGAGCTCTGAAAGTGTAGCAGATATCCACTGGGTTGCTAACCCACAAGGTTAGCAGTTTGAAACCACCAGCTGCTCCGCAGGAAGATGAGGCTTTGCTCCCATAAAGATTTATAGCCTCAGAAAATCCATACAGGGTGTCAGAACTGACTCCATGTCACACAGCAGCAGATGTTATACTGGAAACATACTGCAAATATAACAGTTGTGTAAGTTATTTAAACTCTCCTTGCTTAGTTTCACCATCTGTAAAATACAAATAATGATAGTACCTACCTCAAAAGATTTATAAAAGATAATGCACGTATGCAAACCTTGGCACCAAGCATTAAATAGCAGCATCCTCAGTGGTATTTGGATTTTACCACTGGGAAGAAACATACATGCATAGCATAGTAAGCGTACGCTCAATGAATGAAAAATAGAATTCCTTTAACAATTTTTGAATGAACAGGGCAGTTGTGCGAATAAACTAAAAAACAAAACAAAAAAACGATATAGGTTCCGGAAAACATATTCATTCTGATAAAGTAGATATGATTTCAAGAAATTCAATTAACAATATTGATAAAGTGCTAGGTACTATGTTGTATTCCGGGGCCATAAGAAAGTATGAGTTGAATGCCAAAGAGAAAAAGCGGATAAGCTTTGTAGGATAATTAAAGGAGTCTTTCTCTGTACTAAAAGAGGTACAGAGGAGAGAAGACGGAAGGGAGGAGAGGAATCATATTTTTTACATTCAATAGTCACCTAGCCTACAATTGAAAATCACCAGAGCAAAAGACCTGTCTATGTAACCCAATTTGTCTCCTTCCCTTAACAGGATGTTGAATGGTAAAATTCTTCTGGGTGGTAATACACTACATCGCGTGGTGATTTATACACACGATTTATACACACGATTGCCAAAACTAATAAAACTAAACATGTTACGAACAGTGTATTTTTAAAAGTGCCCCCTTTTAAAAAAGGTACATAACTAACTCTATACTTAAATGGAGAAAGACCCAATCGATTTCAAAGTATTTGGGACCAGAAATTTTAAACGTTTCTGTTATATATGATGCAAGAGAAATCATTTGAGATTGCAGACTACTCGAATTCTTCATGTTCTCAGTTTCTGCGTAGTCTAGGGCATTTCAACTGCTGTTCAAAGTACTATGTTAGAGGGCTGTCAGTGGGAACTTTGCATGTGTGTTTCACTGTCTTGTCTATGATTGGAGGAAAATGGCTAGGGAGAAAGAATAAGAGAGGCAACATCACAGTTTTCAACTAGAAATCAAAAAAACATCTTCTAGTTCTGGGACTACAATGTCCAGTGCAAAGTTGTAGAAATCACTCAGTATTCTGTGCCTGTGATAATCTGCTGTACCAGGGATGTCATAAGGACAAAGTGTATTAATTTGTGAAAACACCTTGTATCATGCTCGTCACTGACGATATATTACAGATGTAGTTAAACATAATCCAGACACTCATGTTTTAAAGCTTATAGAACACCCAATGAACTAGAATGGATGGTTCAAGGGGATGGAAACAGCAGATTACACCCTCTCAAAACAAGAAGAGTGGGTGATGTTCCTTCTCTTAATAAACTCCCAGATCTCTAGATTTGATCTTCCAAAACATTTAGCACAATCTGGCATGTATTAAAAAGGTAGTAGTGGGAGAATATGGCCTAAAATAAGTTAAATTCATCCTGTACTTAGTTTTGTCAACAATCCAGCGGGAGATGAATTGCCTCTGGAATACAGAAAAGGCTTAACTCCTAAAATATCGCAGTGCATTCATCAAACAAGCATTTACTGCATTCCTTCGTATACACATCTCAATGCCACTCTGATATTGCGTTGATCCCAGGCACCAGTGAGTGAGTGCAAGGCCTACACGTTTTCTGATCCTCCATCACAAGTCCCTCCCTTTTAGATTTCAGGTCCAGCGGCCTCCGGCCATCACACCCTCTCCAACTCTCCCATCCCAAGAGCCAGCCTCACCAGCTGTTCCGGGCGGGTGGAGCTCCGATCGGTTGGCGCCCAGCGGCCCCGAACATTAACGACACCCAGGAGCCTGGGCTCGAGGCTCAGGCCCGAGAACAGACTCCAACTACAGTAACACCAGCGACTTCCAAACAGCAGTTCAGTATTTTAAGATGAGCTTCCGGAAGCAGGCGGGAGGCGGAAACCGGATGCCAAAACCAACCATTCGTTTTCCTCCCCCTCTGCGCTATACACCTAAAGCCTACCCATTTTGCTCAAAGAAGGGACAGAGGCAACGAAATTAAACCTTTTTCTTCACATAAAGTTACTGATTATCTTGATAATATTTGGAAACTAAAATAACAGAGGACTGAAAAAAGAACTAACCTCCCCGCTATTAGCCTAATGGTTTAGCCCCGTTGCCATAGTGACTGAGAGTAACACCCAGTGTAAACCCGAGACCCTGAAGCAATGGCTACTTTAGCCAGACTGCAAGGTCGGTCGGCAGTTATACGAAACCAGTACTACTATAGGAACAGGTAAGTCGCTGAATGAGGAATTGGACTAGGCGAATTGTCTCATAGGAGGACTTTCCTATTAACAAATGTCCTAATTAAATACGTTCACCCATTTCGCCCCTTAGTCAACTGGTAACATAATCAGGAGTTTGAAAATAGTGTTACTATAAAGGCAGACTATACCTAAAGAGGGGCCAAATATACTCATTTTGAGACGATTTAAGTAAACTCCCAGCATAAAGTTGTAACGTGTAGTGTTGTCGTTGTTTCACATCATCTCTCCCCAGTTTGATAAAACCTGTGTAGTCGCCTTATGTACATATAAAAGCTGGGCAATAAATAAGAAAGACCATTTGAAATATGGTCTTGGCAAAGAATACTGAAACTACCATAGATGGCCAGAAAAACAAATAAAACTATTGGAAGTCGAGCCAGTATGCTCCTTTGAAGCAAGGATGGCAAGATTTTGTGTCACATACTTTGGACATGCTATCAGGAGATGGGTTAATGCGCTGGACTGCAAAGTCGGTTTGAACCTGAAGGTCGGTAGTTCAGGTTCACCAGCTGCCCCTCTGAAACCCTATACAGGGTCTCTATGGGTCGGAACCGACTCGACGGAACTTCACAACAACAACCCAGTCCCTGGAGAAAGACATCATCCTTGTTAGAAGGTCAGCGAAAAAGGAAGACCTCCAAAGAGATGAGTTTGTACCAGTGACCGCAAAAATGGGTTCAAAATGAACAATTGTGGGTCAGACAAAGAATCAGGCAGTGTTTCATTCTATTGCAATATGAGACTGAACAACAGCTGGGCTAATTGGGGTTGCCCATTCTCCCTAACTTTGAGTTCAATTTGTTTTCTATCCTTCTAGAGATTTACACCTCGATTATTCCATAAACTTTTAACTCAACTTTTCTGTAGGGTCCAGTAACTTGAATTCTGCAGGTCTAGAAAGATCATCTTCAGGTTGGCACAAACAGCACACAGACAAAAAGTAGCAAGTAGCGAGCCAGGTTTATTAAGCTATTACTAGTACTCTTCTCAAGGATCTCTGGTAGAGTGGTGGTTATGAATCGGGCTGCTAATCTCAGGGTCAGCAGTTTGAAACTACCAGCTGTTCCAAGGGAGAAAGAGGAGACTTTCTGCTCCCATAAAGATTTACAGCCTCAGAAACCCTATGCAGGATTACAATGAGTCGGAATCAACTACACGGTACATAACAACAAGTACACCTCTCAGAAGAGGAGAAGTGGGTGTCTCTCTCATGAGTGAGAGAGAGCATTGGCTTTCTGTTCTTTCTCCCACTTTGTAGGGTTTTTGACTCGTTTCCCTCAGATTAATTCTGATTGGTGGCAGGGTCTAGGCAAACATATTAGTCATTCGCACCCTTTCTGGTAGTCAGCTCTGCTCTATTTCTCAGAAGTTGTGCTGGGCTTAGTTTCCTGGAATTGTTGATTGAAGTGCCAGGTGTTGGGGTACGGTTAACCTGGCCTGTTAAGTTCCTACTTGGTCCCTAATATTTCTCCCCTCAGAGAGGAGGATCCTAAATTCTTTAAGGGAAATGAGGGCATTTTTCTGTCTGACTACTTCCTGCTAATTCAGGAATACCACCTGCCTATTTAGGATCTTTCTCCTAAGTTTCTATTCTAACTCCTCCTCTTCCTCTATGAATCTAGCCACCACTGCGTCCAAAGATTTCATGGGTATCGTTTGGAAGCCTTGCACCACCATCATTTTCATTTGTAACTGTTGTATTATGGAAAATACAAATTTAATCAACAGGTTAAATACACACACAGACCAAATATTAAAAGTATTATTTGTCCATATAAGGGGGGAAAACCAAGTCATTGAAGGAACACAGCTTTTAATAGTCCCCATGTTTCCAATTAGTTTGTTTTGACTGTCCCTTAAAACCTTGGCTACATTTAACAGGCCTTGTGCTCCTTCCTCTACCTTTCCACTTGAGTTGTGATAAAAAACAGCAGGTGGTATTTGCCAAAGCACATACTCCTCCCTGCCTATCCAGGATACAGTCCAATGCTATTTGGTGATCCATCACCTGCCTTGCCAGTAAGTCAAGAGAGTGTTGAATTGCTTTTATGGCAATATTGGCAACTTGGGCTGTACTCTGCAACAACCTCAGGATGTTTGTAATAGTTTGTGCATTGTATACAACCCCTCCTATGAGGCCAGCAATGGCAGTGACCAGTGAGACCATTCCTGCTACAATCTGTCCTACTCCTCTCAGGATCCAATGTTTCTCTGCGTAGGCATTAGCAGACGTGATATAGGATAAGATCTGAGAATCCTAATTTACAGGCCTCAACCATCCTACTGTGGAGTGCACATATACGTTGGTTACATTTAAACGTCTTAAAGCCCACACTCCTTCAGTGCTATTGTCTCCACATAATCACCATGTCCTTGGGCCTAAGCACAGGAGTGAATCCTCAGTAGGCCAGCTACTGATGTTCTCTGAGTCCAGACTCAGATTTTTTTTACCCATTTCAGATAGCCTTTCTTTGAAAGACGTTGGCCCCTGGGGAAACAACCACTTGGAGCTATACTCCAGGGGTCAGTGGGTTTCCCAGAGCTTTTCCTATTTTGAACCATGTAGGAACTCGGCTAGTCCGGGCCTGCTTCTCAGACAAAGTCCTTTGGAAGTGCAGTTTCAGGTTATATTTTTGGTAATGTCTATAATATTAGTCCATTGAGCAAGATGGAAGGGTATAACACAACTTAAACCCTTTGAACTTTCACTGGCCAGTCCACCTTGAGGACTGTAACTGGGTATCCCTTAAGTTTCCCACAGGGAGGGTTAATGCTGGACAAGCCAATACTTGGAACGGAAGTCAAAGACTCATGTTGGGAAGAACCCTGACTTTTTTTAGAATTTCAGGATGGCACACCCAGCAATTTGTTACATTTTGTCCCTGGGCTATTATTTTTGAATATTCAGTAAAGAAATTTCCAGCTGTTACTGAAAACAGTGATAGGTTTATGACTACAATGCCCTTCATGGTGGTCTCCACTTCCCATTTGATTTATGTATGGCTAGGATAGTGGTATTATATGGTGATGATCTCTCAATTAGCATCTCAGAGCTCTGGAGTTGTTGTATTATAGGAACTAGACCCTGAATTCCTTGTGGTGACCATCTATACTGCATTCTTTTAGGAAATCCAACCCCAAGTGTTAGCTTACTTTTATCTGGATCTATAGAGACGACTCTGGTGGGCTTTCCATTTGCCCAAACCTCTGGATCCAAATCTCGGCATTCAGGAGGAATGTCAGTCTTTTCTGAAAGTTCTTCCTTTATAGCCAACATCTGGGTTACAGGGGTAAAAACCAAGCGGGTCAGATGATCCTGTCCCATCAAAGGGGCAGGGAAATTAGGAATAATGAGCAACTGGTGTGCTAATAACGTTCCCTGCCAGCTACAGGCCACCAGTCGGATGAGGAAACTCCATCAGTTCCAATATTAACACTAGAAGAGGAGGAGATGAGACCACCAAATGTTATGAGAACCAAATAGGCTGCCCCAGTGTCAACAAGAAAAGACACTGGCTTACCAGCAACTTCCATGCGCCCACTAGGCTCCTCAGGCAGGATTTTGATCTGTTCTTCAGGGAAGATGTAGGAGCCTGGGCCCTGTCAGTCTGATGACTCAGGGCATCTATGTACGAGGTGATCTTGAACCCATACTAGAAGCAGTACCCCTCACCATTCCTAGGAGGCCCGTTTGAGCACTCTCTGCACAGGTCCTGGTTTCTCACAGCTGTCGCTGTTTTCTCCAAACCTGGGACCTGGATGCGACCAGACAGGACAACCTTGTGGCACTTGAGCATTAAGAACAGCTGCAACAGCAGAGCCTATGAATTTTGCCTTTGGGTGGTCTTGTGCTTCTGCGTCTAGGTCATGGTTATTGTACACTGAGGTGGCAACTAGCAACAGCTCATGGGGATCACACTGGGAACCAAGGACCTTCTGTTGTAATGTCCCTTTTATGTCCGAGGCAAATTGATTTATAAAGTGGGTGTTTAAGATATTCAGGATCCAGATTGGTATACTTCTGGATTACATCTAATAATCTGCCTCTAAAATCTGTGGGGTTCTCATCTTCTGAATGGTTTCAGCTAACTTTAAGTAATTGACAGGCTTACCCTGAATTTCCCTCATGCCTTCTTTGAGACAGGTTAGCATGTAGTCTCTGCTGCTCTACCTTCATTGCCTGCTTGATCGGTTTGGTAATTCCACCCCGGGTCTTCATTTGGGATGGCTTCTGTGGCATCAGTCAGATGCTGACTAGTGGTGGCATGGGTACAGTCTGCTCTGTGTCTTGCTGCACTTACTATGTGCTGGTTTTCATCCACAGTACAGCAGGAGGACAGCAAGATCATTGTGTCTTTCCATGTTAGATAAAAACTCCGTGCTAAATGCTGAAATTCCTCAATACATTTCTCAGGGTCTATGGAAAAGTTTCCTAATGTGTTTTTACAGTGCTTTAAATCTCCCATGCTGACGGGTACATTCTCTCTTTTAACCTGCCTATTTGGCCTAGTTACTTCTTCAAGGGGGCACATGGATGCATTTATTCCCAGTGGTGCTGTTGAAACAGCATCAGTTCCTTGGGGATGCTAACAGGACTATAAACTGGAGGGATGCCTTTAATTTATTTTAGGGGAACTGTCACCGGACCTTCTGATTGCTCAGAGGGGGCCTGCGACTTTCTCCCCATGTCCTGATTATAATGCTCTCTATAGTGCATAAAAGGAGCTCTGGTAGCGTAGTGGTTACGAATCAGGCTGTGAACCGCAAGATCAGCAGTTCAAAACTACCAGCAATTCCACGGGAGAAAGATGAGGCTTTCTGCTCCCGTAAAGATTTACAGCCTCGGAAACCCTGTACAGGGTCGCTATGAGTTGGAACTGACTCCACGGCTCATAACAACAATAGTGCGTGAAAGCCTGAACTTCACTTTCCTCGTCTTTTACAAAATAACTGAAGGACAGTATTG